TAGNTTTTAAAAAATGAGATTAATAAAAAACGAGTATGTGATAAAGGGATATGAAATGAATATTATGAAAAAAATTCATAATTTTTTACCATTTAGTTTGGAAAATAGAGTCTTTTAAAAAATATAATTTTCGATTTTTATTGACATATGGAGGCGAGTGAAGGAGGCGGCCAGTCGAGCTGCGTTAGTCTGCGTCTGTCTGAATTAATTTTATCTGCGTGTGCGTGCGGTCAATGGATAGGCACAACCAAATGTTTTTTCTCACTGGCGGCAATGGGAATATCGCCATCGAGCGCGTGATAAGACCTAACTTTTGGATGGTATTGTCGCGAGTGTACTACCTTAACCCAAGCCACAATCCAATGATATATCTGTGCATGTATCTACATACCGGCCTGTATCGCAGCTTAAACCTCTATCGTAAAATAACTAACTATTTCTAAATTTGGTTAACTGAATTAGATAAAATTTGAAAGATATCACATTTTATAATCATCGAATTCGATGCTATGTGAATTGATCGGATTATTTTAACTTTCACGATCATATCGTAAGATTTCATTAAGACAATTGATCACTTTTTCTAGCCAGTGATACCATAATGTAAATTATGTTAAATATAAGGTTTAGGGAGAAAAGAAATAATTATTTATTATAAACATCTTTTACACTTTACAGTATAAATATAAATATATTTTACAGTTCACAACGGTTTCATATCTAAACAAATTCAATAACGAATATTAGATCTAATCAGATCATGTTAGATTGTAAATTTTTATTTTGTATATTTTAAATATATGATAATTTTCTCAAAAAATTTAATTTCAAGAGAATTTTTGTAACGATTTTACTTGTGCTTGATCGTGATCGAGAAAGTCTTGGTCAAAGTGCATTAAAAAAAAAACCGACCAGTTTGGTTTACGACATAGCTTTGGTTTTGGTCGTGATACATATACAGAGTGTCCAAAAAGTTCCGGGATACCTAAATAATTTCTGAACGATTCGAGATATTGGGTTGAAATTTATAGGGTTACAATAGCAAAATGTAATATCTATCATTTAATCTTAAAAACACCCACTTCAACCTTCCGAGGAGGGCAGAAGGGGAGGGGAGGTTGAAAATCTTAAATGACATGTGGAGTCATGTGAGAGCTCGTTTAAAAAGGTTTTTCGAGACGAGAAGAACGCTAAGGTCTCTACGATTTTTTTTCGCGGAGTTATGCTCATTTGAACATCGGTGTTTTTTTAGCACTAGCGAGGCCCGCGGCGAGGACGTGAGGAAGATAAGGCTTCACGCAAGTTCCTTACAAACACACGCTCTTCTACATGCATTTCTATCCACTCAGGAACACGCGCAAAGCCTTATCTTCCTCACGTCCTCGCCGCGGGCCTCGCTAGTGCTAAAAAAATACCGATGTTCAAATGAGCATAACTCCACGAAAAAAAATCGTAGAGACCTTAGCGACCTCGCGTTCTTCTCGTTTCAAAAAGCCTTTTCAAACGAGCTCTCACATGACTCCACATGTCATTTAAGATTTTCAACCGCTCTCCCCTTCTGCCCTCTCGGAGGGTTGAAGTGGGTGTTAAATGATAGATTACATTTTGCTATTGTAACCCTAAATTTCAACTCAATATCTCGAACCATTCAGAAATTATTTAGGTGTGCCGGAATTTTTTGGATACTCTGTATGTAATAATTAATAATAAGACAATGAAAGTGAGTCTAAATTAAGTTTGAAATTGACCATGTTGAAGAGGTTGCGGAACAATATTATGAGAGATATGTAATTTAAGAAATATAATTTTGACATTGTTTCTAATAATGATATTCTGATGTTCGATAGTTTCATAAGTTTAACCGTTTATATACATATAATTTCAGGTCACTGCAACACCAGGTCAATATAAATCCTTGCCGAGAGATTTGGATAACAAATATCAATTAACGTACGGACTCGAAAGTAGTCCACATCTTCCAAAACGATGTCCTCCATCACCACCAAGGCGTCAGAGCTCCAGAGACACAACTAGTTCTTCCGTGATCGGCGTTAGCGGCACAGCGGTGGGTGACGTCGTGATAGACTGCAGCGGGCCGGTGCCAACCGCTTCGTGCGACGATCATCACATTCATCAACATCATCATCAGCATCATCATCTGCTTCATCACCCAGTGCCACCACCACCGGCGCCTACGCCGGCACCCTCCACACCGTCACAACTAAATCGACCGTCTTCTTCCATGTCACGTTCGTGGGGTAGCGTCAGCGTTAATATTAACGAAGAGCATGAGCTAATCGCAACTCTCGCCCTGCAGCATCGCAACGGATCAGATGCTAGTTTTAAAGTACGTTGATCTCGAGAATTGTTATTGCATCCATTTAATTTTTTATGAATTTTAACATCTATATACTGCTGTTTTCTTATTTGCATCTAAATATTTACATATAGTGCAGAATATTTAATTTATTAAAAATTTATATAACATTGCTTCATAAAAATATAGAGAACAGCCCCTTACTTCAATGTGTCTTTCTGTAATTTAGCTGGACAAAAGACATTTTGGCAAATGTTAAAAATTATTCTGCTTTAGATTTATAGAAGTTGAAAAGTGATTAGAAACGAGATAATAACAACGATGAATGAATTCAGTATTATTAAAAAATTTTTCATATTAGAAGTATTGATTACAGCAGGTTTGAATCTGTTTTTTTATTTGAATAGAAGAATGTATTTTTGATGTGTTTATTAAATCATTAATTTTGTTAATATTTACCTGAAGATAAGTATATTACAAAAATATATAATGCAAGAACTTGCATTACATTATGTTAATACATGTATACATATACATTTAATAATTTGAATTAACAACTGAAGATTACTTAAATAATGTGATATATATTTTTTATTTATGTTTATTTATATTAAATTACTCGGTATCCTATCCTGAGCTGTTTGTTGGCAACATTGTTGCAAAATTGAATATTTGTGTAATTTATATTATATTTGTTTTACTTTTATATTTACAGTCAAGTTCCAGTACAGAATCAGATTCATTGCCATTTGCTAATGAGAATGCCGGCACGATAAAGCAGAGGGCCAATCGGGCACAGGAGTACATGGCAGGTGGTCCTAATAGTAATATCGGCGGTCACATGGTCAATCATTCCAATGGTGGTGAACCGGCGGATGTTTTGAACGACATTGGGAATATGCTTGCCAATCTTACAGATGAGCTCGACGCAATGCTCGAAGAGGAGAAACGCCAGGGCCTGAACTCATAATCATCACTGCCTTCGTTTGCACTTTTCTATTCGACTAAAGTTCCCATAGGAATGCAGGCTTTGATACAATTAAATAAACTTGATTAGTGCAACGTACACAATTAGACACAAGTGAATACAAATCACAGAATAAACTGGTATGAATCGTATTGAGATTCGAATATCTGTAAGATTTTTAAAGACGGAAAAAATATATACCAATATACAAATCTATTATCTTCGTTGCGAAAAGAACAGAATCCTCTATTTGAAAAAGAAAACAAATGACATATTATGTCGCTCGAAATTCACGAGAATATTTTGTTTTGTATTATATAGATTAGTGCATATCCGAGATGTATTTTTGCGATTTATGCTTTTTGCTTCGATTTTTTTGTTTCTTTATTGAGAGAAGAAATATTCTTTATTTTTGCATGGAAACGTATTAAATGTTCTTAGCAAGTTTCCAAACGCAGCTGTAGTATTATATCTGTAGTGGTATTGCACAATCTTTTTCTACTTCTTTTTGGAGTAGTTATAGAATTATATATTTTTTTTATTTTCCTTTTTACAATGGACAATATTAGAAACGAGTGATAACTTAATACGTGTCGCTCTATTCTATATAATAAATTAGGGCAGCCCAGTATTCAAACAAAATGTGAAATACGTGGCGGAGGGAGAGGGAGATGGAAAAAATTTTTTTAACGAATACAGATATATTTGTGTAATTTATTTGTACTGCAAATTGTGCAAACAATTTAAAAAGAACACGTGTCTTTTGTATAAAGCCTTTTTATATCTGCAACAAATTTCTAACTAATCTGACTCAAATTTCTAATCAAATCTGACCCCTCCTCTATAAAAGAAATTTAGTTTTCGTTAATATACGTACATTCCAATTAATTTTTCCATTTCCGTCCTTCATAAAATCGATAAATACGATAGAAATCGAAATTTTCTACTCATAGTAGTTGACTTTATATAAAAACAAGGTGCAAAGAAAGATAATCATGTATTCCATCGTCCAAATGAAGCAGCTCCGAACGTTAGAGATACATGCATAAGGAGATTGTTACAATGGTAAAAAAAAAAAAAAAAAAAAATGAAACAGCTAGCCTTGACTGCATTCTAATGAGTTTATAGGATCTTGTATGATTTTTTTAAAAGATCATAAGACACTGACTAGTGCTATCTCTTTAATACTGATAGTGCTTTCTTCTATGAGAGATGTTATCGCGATCGTATATTTAGAATTTCAAGGCAATATGGTTTAGTACAGAAATATAAGTAATGAATGCCAATTAACATTTTGTATTTATTATCTGTACTAATGAATGTAGAAACGTAAATAACTTACCGTTATTGTATGGCACATCCAGACATGCGAAGCAGTTTGGATCCATACGTAAATCAAACGAGCTATGGGGACACTTTTGAGATAGATACTCGGAAAGGTCTTCTGAAAATGCGCGTTACTGGTACGTTTTGCGATCTGAATGTAATATTTTGCAAGGAATTTTTATAAAGTATATATGAGACATAGTATTGGAAGTTAATATTATATGGAAAACATTTTTTATCTATCTTTGCAATAACTCGCTGATGCAAGCAGAGATTCAAATTAAGGGTCCCTCGAAAACAACATGATAAACGTTTTATATTTAACTCTTAATACTTCAATGCAAGCTGAAAAAATGTTTTTTGTATTATTCCCAGACAGATTTTATTAATAATTTGATACTAATTATATTATATTATATATATACATATATATGCTAGTTATTATTAATATTGCAAAAATTATTTATATGCCCATTTCCATAATAAAAGATCACTTTACGTACCAGTTTTGATGACTGAAAATGCATAACGCATGATTTATGATAAAATATATAATTATGACACTACTTTTGTGTGACAATTCTATTTTTAATTCTAACGAGAGTTGCTTATAAGCAAATCCAATCGCGCTCCATAGATAAGGAAAGAACACCTGGTATATAGAGTTTTTGAAGTACATCATACTTAGAATTAATTAATGAAAAATGAAGACTGCCCAGTGCAGAATTAGATTTGTCTTGTTAATTACTGTAGATGTATTATAATTCTATATAGTATATATATATATATGTGTGTGTGTATGTATTTATATATATATTTATGTATTTATATTTATATAAATACGCACATACAGAATATTCAACTACCCTTTTAATGACATCCTTTGACCAATTTGTCCTTTTTTTTCCTAAGAATAAAGAGTCATTACTTGTTTTTCTCTTCCTATTTTACATCATAATGTGGTAATCTTTATAACTAAGCCATAAATTAAAATTGATACAATATTTTATTTAATGAGTTCTATTCGATATTATATGTATAAAGAATGTAATTTTTTTATTTACTTTGAAATTTAATTTCAATAAAGCGATAAAGCTTTACTTTTAAATCATTTATTAGCTGAAAGTTATTGATAGCTTTGATTGTAGATTCGTAATGCAATTTGATATTATTTCTAAGTAATGATCAATTAGTCATGTTGGTCAAAGAATTTATCATTAAAAATCTAAGTTTTTTTTTAATACCTGTATATACATATATGTATGTATATACACCATTAACAAGCAGTGACTTTATAAGGGCATATTCTCCACAATCTTCTTTGAACGAGAGAGATGGGTTGTTTATACAGGGAAATCGCACTAAATAGTCACGTAACATGCGAGTTTGGCGCGAATAAATTAATATAGCAAGTTGTAGATTTGTATTGTAATTTGATATTTACAATGATATAACAATGCGCAATTTACGATCAAATCATATCTGATAATTTTGCGCTGTAAAGTCTGTAATATCACCATGTATTTTGATTGTCATTGTATATATCATATTAGTTTTTCGCGTCTTGTTTATGTATCTGATCTTATACTTTTTAACAGCTGAATCTTTGGGTTATTTAAAATTTCTGTTTTAAAGTATTTATTATAAATCAATAAAAGAATTGTATACCATTGCGTATATAATAGCAGACTTGCAATTGATTGTGTTAAAAGATATATAAATTAAATTTCGGAAAAAGGAGCACGTTATTTTAATTTTGTATAATACATATATTAGCAAGCAACGTCGATATATTGGTAATAATTATTTTCTTATTCTTTTATTACCAATTTTAATATTTATATTTTCGCTCTTTTGTTAACGTCCAGATTTAAAAAACAAATGTATACTAGTTACAAACATACGTTATGTATGTTATAAGAGAAGATGTAACGAAATATCATAACGACATATTCTCAAATATTATATAACGAGTTATTCGTGTAACTTCCATTTACTATTCATTTACTACATAAATTTATTTTCTAACTAATTGCGTTTCAGTTATAGGATAATGTCTTTGTGTAGTTTACATAATGTTTTTTTCACTAAAACGTATAACTACGTTTTTACGATAAATTTATTACATGAAGAAATATACGTAGAGAAAAGGGGAGAAGAAGTAAAATATTACATGAGCGAAGATTATTTTACACACTTGCATTGACGCAAAAAATTGCGAAAAGTTAAGCAGCACATAACAGTTCTTCCATAGCTAGAAAAAAATGATTATCTTTTTAAGTAAATTGATTTGTTTCTATAGATACAGATCGAAAGTTCTTTGATAATATCTAATAGAAACGAAGGAGAATAATTTTGTTCTCTAATTTATTTTTTTTTATTTTAAACGTCAGGTAATATGAATTCCGAATTCATGTTAATTATGGCTAAGCCAGTTAATAGAAATTTTTTTGAACACATTGTTTATACATGGTGTATACACAGACACACACAGTACTTTAATTAGTTATGATTTTTGTACAAACATATGTGTTGCGTGCTATAATCTCGCTTATAGCGAGTTAAATGCCCGCTTAACTGCATTGTACAACCATCCCTTCCTTCCATGTTGGTTTATATATTATATATATATATATATATATATATATATATATATAAAATGCGCATAAAATATATGATTTATTAATTGAAGAAAAGGTGATTGATCTTTAAATAAAGCCAATGGACACATTTATTTCTTATTTCTCAATTCGTATATAATTTATTTCCCTTAGCTTCAGAGATCAGACAAGTATAAGAAAAGAACAGGAATAGACGAAATTTTTTGAAATTTTATATACATATATATATATATATATATATACACATATAAAAAATTATTAATTTGCCTTTTTAATACAGTTCTTTTATTATACTAGTTCTTGGCACATTTAAAATAGAATTTTTCTTGTTGAAAAAATTTAAAATATATTTCTCTCAAATAATTAACGTTTGGAAAATAAATAAACGAAATTCAAGCAAAAAATAACAAACTTATCGAGTATCTAATTTAGTAGTAGAGTATCTAATTATTCCATTTTAATTACTGTAGTCGTTTAGGTCATGTAAATGACATAACGCTGTAAATTATATATTTGTATGTTTTTTCAAAATATAAATATCAGCAATCACAATCAATTTGAAATAAAAAAAGTAAAGCTCTAAAATAATTCAATTTTAGAGAGAAAGCTTGTAATAGTTATTTGTGCGTAAATTATTATATATATTTACAATAATTAATACGTACATAGAATAATCATATCGCAAATATTTCGATCCCGATTTGGATTCTTTTCAGTGTGTATTGAAAGTTACATCACAAGAAATGTGAAACGGTACAAAATTAAGATCCATATGTTCTTCCATCTATGTAATCAAATAAGAGATGAATTTTTAAAATAAATGAAGTTATCATTGAAAATGTGAAAGATCCGTTTTACTGGGCTCTTACAGGCTTTCTAAAATTTAATCATTTTAATTGACTAATTTAAGATATTTTGGGCTAGTGAGAATCGGTGCGGTAATTATAGCGCAGTATTTCTTCCAAAAAAAGGAAGAAATTAATCTTCGAGAACCATGTACATTTTCTAGACGGTTCAGCTCTAGTTTAGAGTCATCTTCAGTAGTATAAATCTTGTTCAAAAAATCATTTTTTTTTTTATTAAATTTCAAGTACAGAAAATATTTTAGAAAGGATGAGTTTGTTATAATTTTTCCTAGATTAAAGCAGATCCACAGAGATAGATAGAGAATTGATAATAAAATAATTTCAAACCATCTTTTCAATAGACTAGACGAATTGAAGTTGATTTTTCTTTAATGAAAATGTCAGAGATTATCTTCCTACTTTCCAATTGTATGTTTTTTCAATAATTTAATAATTTTTATATAATAAAACATTCATTAAAGCATATTTTATATACTTAAGTTAATTAGAATATAATTTTGTTGTTATTATTAATTTGATTCAAATTTTGCAAAAAGCTTTCTTCTATTATCTTGAAACCAAAAATTGTTGATGCTGTAATATTTAAAAAAAAAATTGATTTTATATTGATAAAAAAAAATCTTTCGTTTAAGGTAAGATTTCCAATAATTTTGGAATGTCTTATACATTTGTTTGATTTCAAATATGTTTTGAAAAAGAAAGAAAACTCGATATAATAGTCGAAAATAAAAAATTTAACATTTGCAAGAATATCTAAGACATTAAATGTAATTTATTTTATGTTATTGACTTTTGTTATATCAAATCTTCTAATTTCTTTGTTTTTAGTATGCTAAGATTAAATTTTAAGTTTATTTTTATAATTTTTTTCTTATAATTTCTATTCTTCCCAATACATATTCAAAATGAAATTTGATTTAATCAAAATTTTGTTTTATGCGTATCATAAAATTAATAAGTGCGAAAAGTGAAAGACCATGCAAAAAAAGTCGAAAAAATAAAATAATATTAAAAACACAAAAAGTTTGATCGGGTGTAAATCAAGAAAAAAATAATTAAAACATCAATAAATAATTTTCAATTTATAGATGATTGAAAGAATTTTTTGCAGATTAAATCAAATTAAATAAATAAATAAAATTACATCTCTGATAAAGAGAAATTCTCGCAATATGTCATAATTTCTAAGAAGTTTTTATATTTTAAATTTATAAAAAGAATTCTAAAAAAATTAAATACTATTATAGTTTATAAATTTTCTTTAGAAATTATGGAATTGTTCATAAAAATAAAATGTTAGGTATATTTCACATACAGTAGTTTTGTTTTATCATGGATAAAACAATTCGGATAATTGAATGGTTTGATTAATAGAGAGGCTGACTTAGTGTTAGTATAAATTTCGATAATAGGAGCTAGCATTACTTATTAGTTCCGATAATACAGCAGCTGATGTTTAGATTGTTTAGACAACTGAAGTCAATCCAGCATGTCGAGCTCACATTATTCGAATGATCTAAATGGACACAGGACAATACGAATTGATATATTTGGGTCCCTAATTGTGAGTATACTTGTTTATATTAGCGGATAAACGGAGTTATATATAAAGATTTCCAGAAAAGATATAGACATTCTGAGCATTTCTGAATACTGCTCCAATTCCTATAAAAAAATCTGCGAAATTTTTAAAATAGTTATAAAGTTATATATAAAAATTGTGAAAAATTCTGAAATTTATATAGAAATTTGAAAAATTATGTGAAGAGATTGTATAATACAATTTTTGTTTGAAACATTTTTGCCTGGCTCAATTTTCGACTGGTCTTTAAAATGGATCATTTGTGTATACCTTTTGAAAGAAGAAGGGGATAAAGAAAGAAAGTAAATTAATCACTACAATTTAATTATTACAAATTGCAAGAAGAATCATGAAAAAACCTCAGAAAATACCTCATAAATTCGCATGATTTTTCGAAAAATGTACAAATCAATCATCTCGATTGCTAATAGTTTTAGCATTAATATCTCTCGGCACCATTGCGCGTTCGCTTTTCCGTCACGCTCGCGCTTTTGGCGAGTTAACTGGGCTATCCTTGTCCACGCGGTGCACTGCGGCCGAATAGGAGACGCGCCGCGATTGACGCGCAGCAGTCAATGAGTTCGTCGCGTGATTGTGTAGGTGCACGAGGTGCGCCGCGGCGCGGTGGCGAGCCCTTGTCAGTGCGGATTTAAAGAAGTGGGGGCCCTTGGGCGACTGAATCAGTAGGGGTCCTTAATTTGTAAGAAATCAAAATCATTGAACTCATTTAAATGGATTATGAATATTCAAACGATCAACTTAACTAACAATAATTTTGTTGGAAGTTCAAAATAGTTGCCAGAATATCAAAATATTTTACAGCAATGCTCATCATTTTTGAGTTTCCAAAAAAATTATTTTCAGATCTGTGTTCAGCTACCGATGAGATACTGTTAAAGACCGTCAGCCCTGGGCAAATTTTCGTGCCAGCAAATGGGCCCGGTGGGCCCGGAGGTAATTGCAGAGTGTCAATGTTATCGACTTTTGACATAAATTTGCGATTTATTTGAATAATACATTAATTAAGATCATGATTTTTATTATATAAATGCTTTATAAATAAGTATAAATACTTTTAACGCTATAATATCATATATATTGCCGCAAAATTACATTTTTTTTCCAACTGTTTTACCATCTCTTTGGATAATCAAACGCGGATGATAACTATAAAAATGCAGTTTTAAATAAAATTAACTATTAGCAAGATATAATGCATATGAATTACAATGTATGTACATGTCTAAAAAACGTTGATCTATTAATAAATCATAAAATTAATATTATATTATTGACTAATTGCTTAAATTTTGGCAATTACTAAACTGCCACGATAACTCCCATAAAGTTATCGGTCTTTAAGAGTGTCTCGTCGGTGGTTCAGCAAAATCTTTCCGTGAGGGGATCCACAATTTGTGAGAGCCCCTGGGTGGCCGCCCAATCCGTCCTCTCTTAAATCCGGCACTGGCCCTTGTGTAACATACTGTGTGTAACTACACTATAATGTAGCGCGCGTTCGCGCTGTATAGTATATACGCGCGTTCCATCCAGCGAAACGGAGTCAGGTTGGCCGGAGTCGGAGCGAGTGCCGTCAGTGGAGCCGCTAGCCTGGTGTGGTGTGGAGTGCCTCGTTCTCGCGCGGCCGCGCCGTTTCGTTTCGCTGACAGATAACGCGCGCGAGACTTGGACGCTCCCGTCCAAGATCGATCGGGCCGCACAAAGGAGATCGTAGAGAGTCGCGGCGCCAGTCGATCTCGCGTCTCGCGAGTCAAATCGTCACGGCCGTGCGCGTCGTGCTGTCACCGTGCGGTCATCAGTGCGATGGAAAGACTCATTTCTCTCTCGCTCTCTCTCTCAACCCGCGAGTGATTTTTTTTTCCTTTCAAACGGACACGAGACCGTATAGTCCGTTGGAAATCTGCCGCGCGACCCCAATCAGGTTAAAAGGCTCTCTCTCTCTCTCTCTTTCTCTCTCTCTTGAAGGCCCGATTTACCGTTTGTTGTCGCGAAACGTACATACGCGAAAGCATTTTCATCCGCTGCGGATCGGTTCGCTTGCTTTCAGGACACTTGTCGATAATCCGTATGTACATACGTGGATATAGAGTCCCGTGTGTTTCTCGGATGCCTCGCGTGTCACGTCTCTCAATACCAGCTTACGCGTTATATTCTCTCGCCATGCTAAAAGTGTGCTGAAAAGACCGCTTCTCGTGACGAATGTGACGACGCAGGAAGATGCAGGTTTATTTCTTTTTTTTTTAATTTTCTCTTCGCTAATACACGGGGCATAGTAGAGACAATTGTTTTCTCGTATCGTATTTTTATATTTAATCCGCACGGTATTCGAAGTACGACTATATGCAGGTTGTAGATGATTGTTAAAAGATAATGAACTATACTTGGAAAAATAATAAAAATTTTTTATAACTGTAATTAAGGATTATTAGGAGTCTTATGAATAGGAAAGGAGAGAGTAGTTTTGAATAGAAAGTAGTTCGAACAAGAGACGTGTCACAACTGGACGTGTCCAGAACCAATTCAATTCTTCTTGAAATGTATTGTTAAGCACAAAAACTTTTAACGCTTTTTTTTATACGTGTTCATTTTGACGTTCAAGGGATGAAACAACTCAAAGCTAACATTTATATTTGATTTTAATTAAGTAGTCATTATATTTTATCATTGAAACGATAAAATATAATACTAAATGTTTTATATAAAATTTTTATGGTTTTTTAATATACTTTGCATTTATCAATACTTAAAACAATAGCATACAAAAAAATTAAAATAATTCGTATATTTCCAGAAAAAGTTTACTATGGAAAATATATAATATTAATATGTTATATATATATATATAATATTTAATATTAATTATATATAAAATATATAATTAATATTAAATATTATATATATATATATATATATATATAACATATTAATATTATATATTTTCCATAGTAAACTTTTTCTGGAAATATACGAATTATTTTAATTTTTTTGTATGCTATTGTTTTGAGTATTGATAAATGTATTGAAAAGATTTTTTAGTTTACATTGTATTAATAAATAGTTAAATATTTTACAATCAATTTTCATAAACTCCATTTTTGTTGAAAAGATAAAACACATGAAAATTAAATTATATGTATATTTACTAATATAAAATAATAAAAAAGAAAATTTTTAATTTAAAAATATTTTATCAAATATCATTATCCAACTACACTACTATATCCAACATAAATAATGACAAATTGAAAAATGGTGAAATATGTATTTTGAAATATAATGCAAAAAAATGTTTATATGATTTTTGTTCTCGACATCTTTTAATTCAATATGGCTGCAAAACAAGAAACAAAAATTTTTAATTTGCAGTAATAAGGGAAATTATGGTACTTAAGAATACATTAATGTATTTTGAGACATGCTAGTTATCTTTTTAATAATAACAAAAATTTTAAGATTAACTTTTCAATTACGTCACTTTCGTTGTCATTTATTTCTAATTCAAACAGCTATAAATTCTGTGCAGTTATTTAATTCTTATCGAGAAATATTTGTTTTCGGACCTTTTTTACATATTTTGTAAATATTTTTTGTGTTGACATATTTTTTTATTTTTTAAGACATTTTTATAAAAGATTCACCTACCTAGTAGTAAGTTTTTGCGTAATTTCAGCTGTTATTCAGTATTTGGTGTTTTTATGCTAATATTTAAATTTTAATGTTCTTTTTACGTTTTAAGAGAGATTGTTGTAGGGACATCTATTTAAAGATATTTTTATTTTTTAAGGATATAATGTGTTAAATATATGCTTTCGGTTTTATAACTTTTGCGTATATTATTATGTTTCGAAACAAAGAAAAGAAAAGATTAAAAATACTTGTAAGTATCTCAGAGGCTCAGAAATTTAAAATTTAAATAAGTGGTGAAGAAGGGCAATAAGCCATGCACGGCATTAGTGCTATTAAAATAAGTTTATAATAAACCAAAATGTATTTATAATAAATATACTGGTCAACAAAATTATCGCATAGGTAAATTCGTATCAAAATTTCGCATAACTTTAAATAAGCATAACTCTGCGAAAAATGGTCGTAACGAAAAATTTTTTTTTTATTCTTAAAGATAAAGTTTATATTTAAAGAAACTTTTGATAGATTTTTAATATATATATATATATATGTATATAATATTAAATATATATTATATAATATTATTATTATTATATAAGGCGATGCTGGAAAATCGGAAAAATTTGCACGAGATCGATAAAACAGACTCTTCAGTGTCAGTGGTATCTCTAAATCAATTTCTTACAATATCTTTTGTCTCACTCAACACATTCAATGTCCTTATCTAACAAATTGAAGTGCCTTCTGTTGCAAATTCCGGCACTTCTTGTTAGACGCAATTTTTGCTGTCTTTACCTTAGCTAAGTGTACGAATCATCACAAAATGCATTCTAAGGGATAATTGTTTTTCTACGCTTCCAATCGTAACTCAAAGATCTTGTATTATTCGTGCAAGTTATCCGATGCGCGCGAACTACTTTTTTTGTACATATGAGCTACAGAACTTTTGTACCAATGAAATATTTACGTCAGGTGACAGGTTATGATAGCTGTACGACCCGAAAAAAAGGTAATTTTT